TGTGCTGTTCCGTGGGGGTGTGTGCTGTTCCGTGGGGGTGTGTGTGCTGTTCCGTGGGGGTGTGTGCTGTTCCGTGGGGGTGTGGGTGCTGTTCCGTGGGTGCTGTTCCATGGGTGTGTGTGCTGTTCCGTGGGGGTGTGTGCTGTTCTGTGGGGGCATGGGTGCTGTTCTGTGGGTGCTGTTCCGTGGGGGTGTGCTATTCCGTGGAAGCATGTGCTGTTCCGTGGGTGTGTGTGCTGTTCCGTGGGAGTGTGTGCTGTTCCGTGGATGCGTGTGCTGTTCCATGGATGCGTGTGCTGTTTCGTGGATGCGTGTGCTGTTCCATGGATGCGTGTGCTGTTTCGTGGATGCGTGTGCTATTCCTCTCAACGTCTCAACAACCAGATCATGCAAACCGGGCGCTCCTACCAGGTCTCAAAAAGGGAAAACGGGCCTGAAAACAGGCCTCACTGGTGGGACAGCCCAGGACTGCACCACGGCCTATCTCTAGCTCTAGGCTGGGCCTGCAGTGAAGCAGCTGGCTCCCCGCCTCTCACCTCCCTGGCTTGGTGACACCACTGTCGTCTCCAGGCAGCTCAACGGCATCGATGGCCCCCTCCAGGCGGAGCAGGATCACTGCAGGTCGGGTTGAGGAGGCATCAGGGGGAGGCCCCACCCAGCCGCAAGAAGGTGGGGAGGGCAGCACTTACTCTTCAGCTTTGCAATGTCTTCCAGCTCCATGTTCAGCCCTGGGCAAGAGAAAGGCAGCAAAGGCACAGTCTGTGTCACACTCAGACCAACAACCCCGCCCTTGAGAACCAGGATTCCTGACATGGAAAAAAGGACGCCACCATGGGGGAAGAGGCTACCAGAACCCCTGCCAGCCAGTCCAAACTGGAGACACCAAGAGAAGGCGTTTTCCCTTTATTTATCTATTTATTTTTGAGACAGGGTGTCACCCTGTCACCCAGGCTGGGGTGCAGCGGCACTACCTCTGCTCTCTGCAACCTCCGTGTCCCAGGTTCCAGCGTGTCTGTCTCCCAACTAGCTGGGACTACCGGCGTGCGCCACCACACCTGGCTAATTTTTGTGTTTTTAGTAGAGATGGGGTTTCACCATGTTGCCCAGGCTGGTCTTAAACTCCCGACCTCAGGTCATCCAACTGTCTCGGTCTCCCAAAGTGCTGGGATTACCGGTGAGCCCTTGTTCCCGGCCGGGTGGTTTACCTTCAGAGTTAACATTTATGAACACATCTGTGCATATGGATGTATCTCCACAAAAACACCCAGTAACAATGACCAACCCAGTAACCATGACCAGCCTGTTGCCGCACCATGGGTCCTGAAATACCACCTTGCAGGAAAAGAAACCAGAGCTTCTTGGAGACTTGGCTGATTCCAGGTCTGGAGCAGGACATGAGTGTGAAAAATCCTGACTCCCAGACAGCAAAGAGGCCACAACTGCCGGGGTCAAGACACACGGGCCCACATGAAAACACCTCGAGGTGGAGAACGGAGGTCAGGAGTGAGATTCAGGGTGGCGCGCAGAGCAGGACCAATCCCTACGTGCTCTCATACATTCACTGATGACGTCTGATTGATTGACTGATTGATTATTGAGACAGAGTCTCGCTTTGTTGTGAGGCTGGAGTGCAGTGGCGCGATCTCAGCTCTCTGCAACCTCCGCCCCCCGTGTTCAAGTGATTCTCCTGCCTCAGTCTCCCCAGTAGCTGGGATTACAAGCACGCGCCACTACGGCCCACTCATGTTTTGGGGTTTTTTTTGTATTTTTAGTAGAGACGGGGTTTCACCATGTTGGCCAGGATGGTCTCAATCTCTGACCTCGTGATCCGACCGCCCTGGCCTCCCAAAGTGCTGGGATTACAGATGTGGGACAGCACACCCAGCCCACAGCCAGCATTTATCCCGCCTTTCCTGTGTGAATGGGATCACCACACGGCTGATACGATGCAGAGCATGGTGCTAGATTATTCCTGCTAACTGACTAAGCGACAGCATTGGCACACTACCATCTTGCAATCCCCCAATAATCAACAGAGTCAGGTGCTCAGCAGCAACAGCGTTAACATCGGAAGAAACCGGAAAGCAGATACTGTGAGCCTCCTGATAGAAAGGACATCCCGCCTGGAGCCAGGCAAAGGGGGGCCCCAGTCTAACTGGGGTCCTCAAGCCACCTAAGGGCACCTAAGTGCGGAGGAGACGAGGACACCGGGGAACTCGTGTGACTGCCCCTCCCATACCCAGATTCAGACTCCGCAGGGTTCCTCTCAACGTCTCAACAACCAGATCGTGCAAACCGGGCGCTCTACCGGGCTCTCCAATAAACAAAGTGTGAGGAAAAGAATGAACCCTGCCAAGCACGGTGACGCACGTCTGTAGTAGTCCCAGGAGTTTGGGAGGCCGAGGCAGGAGGATCGCGTGAGCCCAAGAGGCAGAGACTGCAGGAGGAGGAGGCTGCCGTGAGCTCTGATGGCACCACTGCTCTCCAGCCTGGGTAACAGAGCAAGACCCCATCTCCAAAGGCGTAGGAGGACAAATAGTGATGAAAACTGAAGTTCCAGTCCTGAATGAGACGGCAGAAGCCCCCCTCACCACACGTCCCCCCCTAGTTACAACGAAAAGCCCTGCACATCAAGTAACTAACAAAACTGAAGAGTGGAGAAGGCCCCTGTGGCGGTGTTCACACAGCCCTGGAGGTGGCCGGTGTCTCTCCCACGTCATATAACCGACGAAAGGGCAGCTGCCGAGATGCGGGAAGGAGACCTGTCACTCTCCCCACCCTGCGCCAGGCAAAGGATGGAAAGAGGTGGCCATCCACTCCCAGTTAGAGGTGGGGTT